TTAGAGCATTTCGTCAGAGTCAAACTGAACTAAATCTTCCGAATTAAATGAGTCAGTCTTGTGGTTCAATGTCTTCATTGAACTCAAATATGCTGCATTTTACATGGAATCCAAAGCTGCAACAAGTCAAGGGATTATTTTAAATTCATTCTCTATTCTGCAACAGCATCAATTTAATTGAGGACTGAAGAACCCCAAAGGAAACTCATTCCACTTGATGTATCATCCAGTACCACTTTTCTAATTGCCAGATGAGCAGTTTAAAGGAGGTTGCAGTGGTTTGCACTGAAGCCAGAGGAAGATGGAATTTAACACAAGTATTTGACACCGCTTACCCCAGCGGTGAAAAATTCCTGAAAAAGCATTAATGGACAGATATTTACCAGTAAGAATGAAACAAAACTGCTGATACGTGAACCAATAAAGTTCAGAAATACAAATTAATCAAACTCAATGGATGAGATCTGCATGGAGGCCCAAAAGCCCTGGAACGCTCAGCCTACTCCAGGAAACCGATTTAGCCTCACTCATACATCAAAGGGAGAGGGAGAAGCACAGCAGGCACTGAATCCATGCAGCATGGATTCAAGAAAATAAAACAGCTGAGGATCCAAAAGACAGTAATTTCTCTGTATGAGGTACAGTTACAAACACAACTGTTGACAAAACACACAGCAGTCAATAAAATAATTCTGCAGATCCCGTTAGGAGGAAAGAGTCACCTGTTGCCCACAGAGTAATAAGCAGAGAGGTAACCAGTCCATGAGTAGAGAAGTAATAACTGTAGGTATAAAGGGAAAAATCCTGCTCTTCCCATGTGGCACAGAGCCCTGCTCAAAGCAAAGTGAAGCTTGTAGCTACCTAAAAAGACCTGGGATCTGCAGTGAACACCTTTCAGCATCCAGTCTTGCTTAATCTCAGTATTATAGCCCATAGATGTACTTTTGACTGTAATTGATGTTAAGTGTATGAACCAGACAGACATGAAATGAAATAATATAACTGAAGAAAAAGAAATATATATACTTGGTTTAAATAAGATTCATAAAAAGGAAGATGGAAAGTACAAGATAAACAACTTGTACTCTGCTAACACGGAGCCTGTGAACATCACACACACCCCACAGAGCACCAAAGGGAGGAGATCACTCCAAGCATTCATGTTCTCCTTTTTGTCCAAGATAATACGCACTGAACAGACTCTTAACTCATACACAGTGTTAAACAAAGCCTCTGACAACCATGACATGCTAAACTGAACCTCAGCGCCTCAGCAGGAGCAATTGGCTACATGGAGACGAGTCATGCACACACAGGGGTTTCAGAAAGAGATGCTGGTTACAAGGGACAACATGTACAACCTGGAGCTCTCCTCTACCTCCTTCTGCAAAGAAAAGAAAAAGAGAAGAAGAAGAGGAATAAAAGTTAATAGACCAGATTTCTGCCATGAGATCTGTAAAATGATTTCAGAAACTGGGGTAAAGGTTTGCCACAAGCTGATAAAACATTTGTGCAGCGAAGAGTTTTCCCATGCACTTCTTGGGACATACACCAGTCAACTAATCTCTTTCAATCAATCTCGGTTAAACTAGTCAGATTTCATCCATACCTGCACATGCATCAACACATATGCTTTTGAGAGCTCTTTTTCGAGTTACAGTTCTTGTTTTATTAACTGAAGAATTTTAAATAATCTTAATACAGAATTGGAGCAGCTTATCATACAGGAAAGAAAACCTGTACTTATAGAGAGAAACAAAATTGATTCCTCCTTTCCCCTGGACTGCATCCACTGCCTGCATCTGAAGCATCCCTGCTGCTTCCCTCCTCACCCCCTGTACATTTTGCCCGGTATGAGGAAACCGGCAGCTCCCACGGAACACATTTTGCTTTTGCAAATACCGTAATGCAGAGAGATATTTTCTGGGTTTATACATCTAGGCAATTTTCCTCTGAGAAAAAAAAAAATCCAGAAGCCTCCTACACTAAATCTCATGTTTATGGATAGGTAATTTCAGGGCTAGTAAAGTTACATGAGAGTCATACTCAAAACTTCCGGTACAGACATGATATTTTTTAAGTCCGCCAATCGGATAATTCTCTCCCTGCACAGAAGAATCATATTACTCATTTGCATATGAAAGATGGAGGGTAAGGAATATCTTCATGGCAACAGGAGACACTCAAACTGGTTTAAAAGCAAAAATAGTTTTTGAAGTTACTGTCTACATGGGTATAATTACAGACATGCAATCACTAAGACAGGAAAATAGAGAAGCTATTTTAACTCAATTGCTAAGGAGAAGTCAAATTACTTTAGCAAATGAAGTGCTGGATTGTAGCTAAAATAAAACCCCTACTTTCCACCTTAAGGCATGCCTGCATGGATGCTCATTAGGGAAGAAAGCCTCCGGACCACCCTGCAGGCTTCTCCTTTGGAGCTCACGGAGGAGAAATCCCAAGCAGCAGGATGCTGCTGTCTTCTACCCAACAGCTGATGTGGCAGAAGTGCTGTGTTGTGACAGTCAGCTTGGCAAAGACCTGGAGAAGCTGAGGAAATTTGGGGTCCACTCCAGACTCAGGTGGGCATATGTTTTGCTAGGCATGGACACTTCTGACTGTTTTCCTCTGAAGTAATTTTATATTTTATATATAACATCATCTTCCTGCCTGTCCTGTTCTGTTAGGGAAAACCATCTCACCTAGACAGACACACTCCAAGTCCTCTGGTTTTGTCCTTCTTTTTGCACAGCTACCCCAAGCCCTTCCAACCCAAGCCAAATTGTCTCCTGACTTGGTCCGTGCGGTTGTTTCAGTGTGTTTTAGAGCCAGACATTCCTCATTCCTGGGTTTTTAACTCCTTTGTATTTGAACAATTAGTCCTTCCTGATGTCTCTCATGGAGTCTCAGAGGGCAGAGGATGCAGAAGACCTGGACTTGTGTCCCCTCTCAGGTCTGCCTTGGCTCTCAGTCACATCAAGCGGGGAAACCCTGCTTTTAGCCCCCGGCTGGAAACCACTGAGGACAGATGGAGTCTCTGGCAGTGCAACAGCTCAACAGTACCAAGCTACCAGTGAGCATATGCAAGCTACACATTTTTCAAGAGCGTGTTCACTTCGCTCATTTGGGGTTGATTTTCCACAGAAAATTCCTTGACACAGACTAGCACTGCCAAATTTTAAGACCTCAGGGCACTAGTGTGTCTCCAGTATAGGTCAAACTTATTTTTATACAAACACAAAGCAATAAATCCTACATTAGACTAACTTTTTAATTAAAAAAAATAACACAAACAAACACAACAAAACATTTTAGCTTAAATTCCATACATATCCTTGATTTCTGAGCCCCATCAATTTAAGGCAGTTAGGGACAGTTTCAGGCCAAATACAAAATTTGACAAAGCTCTGAGTAACTGCACACAAAGATCTAAAATCTTGTGTCTCAGTACAGCATGTGCACTTCATCAATGGTCACAAACTTGGTTAAACGCCTATCACAGAACTCTTTCACTATTCCACTTTTGAGCAGTCACCTTACATCTACAAAAATCTCTATTTCAGGACTTTTCATTAAAAAAAAATCAAACTATCTTCATCTTCACTTTCTTTTTTTTTATTTTTTCTCAAATTCAAATTTTAAAAGCTTCCACAGATTTTCAGAGGATATTTTATTTTTTTTCCTCTTTTGACTTCCAATTAAACACAACAATTATGCATCTGCCAAGTTCTAAATTCTTCCGGTAATTTGCATCTGTGTACAACTATAAATAAGTTAAACCTTTATGCCAGTGCATCATCTCTGATTCACCAAAACATGCAGATTTACCAACACCTTCAAAGTTATCATCCATTCCTTTGCTGCAAGCTGCTGCCAAATGTATTTAATTAAATATCCTGGACTGAACTTTTGAGCAGACATGAGTACCACAGTGGTTCAGGTTCAGAACCAAAAAACACAGCTGCAGAATTGGGTTTTCAGTGGACTTTACTCAGGAACTGGAAAGCCTATTAACAACAAATTACATTTTTAAAGTGAGACATAAACACTCATCTACAGCTGGGAAAAAAGGCAAACCAACAAGATTTCATTGCATTCCAAGTATGATGCTTTTTCCAAAGGAAGAAAATAAGAGCTTGGCTCAAACTTGAGTACATCAAAGCAGGACATAAAACTGCAGCTTCTCTTTCTGTAAAAATGCATGCCAGAACAACGCCATTTCAGAGTCACAGAATCACAGAGCCAGAACAACACCATTTCAGAGAGTCACAAAATCACAGAATGGCTTGTGGAAGGGACCTAAAGATCATCTAGTTCCAACTCCCAAACAGTTTCCCTGCCTAGCTCTGAGGGTCTAGACTACTTTGCTTCCTGACATCTTCTCCAGGGTTTTTTCCCCAAGGTCTCTTCCTTTTCTTATCCTTTAACCAGTGCTTTCCACTACCCTTGACTCATTTGACTCCTCCCATCTCTCAGAGCACATTTCCTGCATCACGATTTCATCACACACTTATTTTTATAGCTTCAATGGCCAAATCTAATATGTAGATCCACCTTTACATGAGTGTCACACAAGCACCAACTCTTTGTCACGTCACTAGATGATGTTCAGGAGAACTGAACCAGGGAGGCTCAGGAATGCCAATTCACCCTGGAGCCAGATTTGAGGTACTAAATCCAGCTCTGTTCCTCCTTCTCCTCTACTGTTTTGGCTACTTCTCTCCTTGTGAACATGCCTGTACTGCTCAAACTCTGCTGAGATGATCAGCCTCCTCTCACCTCCAGAAACAGGCTATTTCAATACTTTTGCTGTGATATATGCTAATCCGAACCCCTGGCTGTTCCTTCAGGTCCTAAAATTAGGACATATGTCCAGACTTGAGCACCACGCCAACACTACCGAAAAAAAAAAAAAAGGCATGTCTGCCAAGCCTGTCAACAAATCCCAATGTTTCCCTAACTAGCTTTATGATCAGCATAACTCAGAAGGTCATCGGTACAGAAGTCAAATACAGGTTGACAAACTGTTTGTTCACAGTGAAAGCACAGTCACTGGAAAAGCACTTGGAGTTAGATGACTCTTTCAGTCAGAAAAAGACTGCTCTGATTACTCTGACTAGCTTTCATGATTGCAGGAAGAGTGAACATAGTATTTGATACACAGAAGTTCACAATAAGGATGTGAGGGTTTCAAGCTGCAATTCAAATATCTTCCACTCTTGAAACAAAGCCTCTTCCCTTAACTGTGTAGCAATCTGGACAGAGATGACACCAAGGAAGTGTTCTCAATGCCTGGAGAGGAAAGGGGCAGATGGAGTTACATTTCAAGTTTAGGTTCTGTTTTACCAAATCAAGGCCTATCAAAACATGTCCCATCAAAAGATGCTGGTCAGCTCTATCTCCCACATGCTCAGGGACAGATTTAGCAGCACAGCTCCACCACTGTATCACCTCATATGGGCTCTTCAATATCTGTGCTGGAAGTAAGGCATGTACTTCCACAGAAATGAACAATTTCTCATCTCGAGGACAAGTTACGGAAACAATACCAAAATACAAGTCTCAACCATTTTGTGTGTGTGTTTTGGTTTTATTTAGTTTTTATTTTTAAAGGTCTGTACTAGGGTAACACCTAGCAGTGATTAAACACTGAGAACTCCCACTTCGTGATAGAGTCACTTGAAGTCTAGATCCACTCAACTCACAAAACTGCAAATCTGGATACTTATAGCTCCAATGCACACTTTGTTATCACATGTCTTAGCTATTATATTTAACAAGAAACCAAGTCACGAATTATGATGAAAAACCTTAACACCTGCTATTTTGAAGAAGCACTGCAAATCTTCCTGTCTGAAAAAAAAAAAAAAAAAAGAAAAAAAAAGAGAGAGGTGAAGCTCGCTAACTGGCATTTTAGTGTGTTACACAATAAATTTTAGGCAGTTTTGTCAGTAGTGTTGAACAGCATATGTACTTGTCTTTGTAATAATTTGCTCACAACTTCTAATAAACTGTTCACCCACATAATGAGGTTTTGGCTGCTGGCTGCACAAATATCAGATTTTGACATCTCCTTAAAAACATTTTTTTCATTTTACCTGAATTTGTCTCCTCAGCAGAAATCCAGTTTCCTTCCTGTGCTAATTCTTTTAAGAGTCTCCTACGCATTTGTCTCTTTTCCCTCAGCACATTTTTGAAATTGTTGATGCACTTGTTCAGGTAGATGGTCTCTGCGCACACCTTGTCAAGGCTCATGGGTCTGCACTCCTTTGCTGGCTCAGGTAGGGTGTTCACATCTTCTCCAAGCTCCTCAGGAGGTAAGCATTGCCCAGTAGGGATTTCACAGTCAGATGATGGCACCAAACTGGAAACAGGAGGCTCATGAGGAACAGAGGAAAGACTGGAAGGAGCAAATTGCACCTGAGCAGATGCTTCGCTGTTGACGTTTGTGTTTGCCTGGCTCTCAGAGGACTGACTAGGAGGGGTTTCTGCAAAGTTGTCAGAGCTGCCACCCATACCTGAACTGGTCAGCATAAGTGTGTTGTCATCATCCATCTGTAAGCCACTATCATTTTCCAAAAGGATTTCAGAATCACTTGTTTCCAGTTTATGAAATACCACCTGCAGAGCAGACCTGAAGTGGTGAATAGCTTTCCCAAGCTTATTAGTGTAAAACTTCATGTCTACAAGATCAATGTTATCCCGGGAATGGTCAAGGAAATACTGAGAATTTTCCAGGACATCCCTAAAGACCTGATCAGTTGGATCTTGATCATTCAGGTCCATTTGGATCATATCTTTCAAGCTGTCACTACTATCAGCCATTTCATCTGTTGTATGATCATAGCTAATGGTTGTCACCCCACTAGAAACATCTTCTCTTTGAATATCAACTTTCTCTGCACTGGTTAGTTTGCATGAAGTATCACAGTCTATTTCAATTTCTTCTGTGGTTATGCCCTCATCTTTTTCTAGAAGGGAAGAGCAATTCTCAGTGACATTTTCAGTGTCAAGCCTGTGCTCACCACCATTATTTGAAGCACACATCTGGTTTGCACGGCCAGAAGAGTCAGATGAGCAGCAGTGATTTCCATCACCTGATCTGGCCAAACTGGTCACCTGTGGATTTTGCAGAGGTTCATGAAGGACCTGGTGAATGTCACTGTCATCTGAAGGCTGCTCACCGCAGCTTATTATTTGTGTTTCCTTTCCAGTCTCAGACACTGAGTTGCTTTCCTTGGCTGATTTCTGCGCAGAATCAGGTCTCTGTCCTGTGCATTGTGCTTTCCTACTCGTGCTTTTATACTTAACTTGGAATGAGTCCATCTGGAGTTGCCCAACTGCATCAGTTCTCTGAGCTCCATCAGGATTCACCGAGTTGTGATGATTTTTCTTGAAGCCAGACTGCAAAGAGACCGAATCTGTTTTCTGGCCATTCTGCCGCTTTTGCTCCTCACTGGTAGCAATCCAGACCCCTGAGCTCTGTAGAAGGATAGACTTCTGTAAAATAAAGTCTCTCTGTTCACAACTGACAAGTTTCACAACTGCTGGTCTTGGCATTAATGGTTTGCCTGTACCCACATCTGATCTATAAGCATCTTTTATATACTTACTGCACTGAATACCATTGAAGCAGTGATACTCAGACAAGAAGCTGCAGATAAGCTCTACTGTGTTTTCACCATCTTTCTCTGGGATGCCATAAAAATATAATACTGGTTCTTCCTTTTGTACCTCCTTTCTTGGCTCTCGAGCATGTGTACCCTGGGTTTTGCCACTGGAACCACCTTGTAGGCCTTCTATCTCGCTCAAGACTGTATCCACGCAGCTGGAGACTTCATCCACAGAGCCTTTTATCAAGGTGAGGTGCTGACGGAGCTCTGCGATCTCCGTCTGGATTCGACTTATTCCCTGGAGCTCTTTAACAATGTAATCAACCACATCAGCTGAGCGATCTCTTGATTGCCTTCTACGGCTCTTGTACGAAGTGGGCTTTTCCTGGGGAAAGCACCCTTGCCTTTCAGCTGCATCCCTCCAGCTCATGGTAATGCTCAGGGAAGAAAGGTCCTGCCCCTCAGACACTCTGCTCTTTATTTCAGACGAGGTCTGTGTGATACCATCAGAAGAACTTCCCTGCGAGTCCCTCTTGTTCTGTTGAACCGAACATGGTATTTTCACATAGCCATCCCAGTTCAGTTCCACCTCACCAACACAAACTTCACTCACTCCTTTGGAATCACGTCCTCCATCCTGATGAAAGTCCCCTCCAGCTGTGGAAAATTCAGTGCTCCCGGAGCTCCTCTTTATTCCACAAACAAACACGTCTGTTTCAATCTCCACTGGGGATAGCTGGCAGCGATGTGCGTGGTTTGAATTATCATCTACCTGGCCTTGAAGAAGCCTCTTCATTTTGTCCCGCAGAAACAAATGGAGTTTTTGCTTCCGGAATTGCTTCCTGCCCCACAGTTTTACAACAGGTTTTCTGTGCAGAAGTGAAATTTCATTTTCTTGCTTTTTCAATCTACTTCTAGCAAACATCATCAGCTGCACCTGCGTTTCTCATAGTGCTACAAGCTGCAAAAGCACACATCAATCACAACTCGCATCCAGTTTTTATTCTGTCATGAAGCAGCTACCAAAAGAGGGGAAAAAACATTACGGTTTGGTTCAGATCGAAATAGCCAAAGTAACTTAAGCAGCAGAATAACAAAAAAAAACAAGAACAGCATACACATAAAATCAGACAGAAAGAGAACGTGCTATTTAGAGTGTATAGACTTGCTTTTGGCCACCTCCCCTGATCAGGTTCTTCTTTGTAGAAATAAGTGTTTCTCACTTCCTCTTCTATTCAAGAAAGAAAAAAAAAATCTAAAAAGCAATTGTGGTCATTCCCTTTTTCTACAAGGTCTGCAAATTGCTCTAAGCTTGAGTTCCTGGCAATAGTGCACTATGTGATTTAATTACCCCTCTGAATACAGAGTTTCCGACATTAGAAATTCTATCCTTGCACATTTCCTTTCCTTTCAAGTTCACAATTCTCATCCTTTCTTGCTTCAAACCAAAGCAGAAATCAAATTCAACTTGGCGCATTACCAGTTAGCCCACAGGAATTGCACAAAGTGATGTAAAGTGGCAGAAAGATTGGATGACAGATTTCAAGTGTAAAACCTCTCTGCTATTTTAATACTTTCATCTTAATATTTTGCTACCAAACAGTAAAAAAAAAAACCAAACCAAAATGAAGCAAACCCAAAAAACCTCAAAGCTTGCAAGCTCCCGAGCTAACCTGCAGTTAAATATGCCACACTCAGCATATGCACAAACAGGCTGAGCTGACAGCAGGAAGATTCTGCATGTCACTTCAACTCTCAAGATTTTGCAGTGGATCATTTTCCCCAGTTTAAATCCCCTCTGCAAAGAGCAAAATAAAAACAAAAAACCCTTACTATGTTAACTACTTCAAACTTTCATGTTTCTTTGCTGCACTTAGTAAGCAACATAACAATCAGCTTTTCCCTCCAGAGTGTAAGTTAGACGGAGACCCATAGAGAGAACCTCCTGGAGCCACTGTGACTGGAGAACACAAGTGTATTTGATGATTCAGTTTGGACTTGCTGCTGAAGCACATATTCTTTCTCGTATTCTAATTTGGAATAAGACCTATAGTACCTATTTTCCATTCTAGTTCTCAAAAAAAACCCCAAACATTTTCAAGCTTCACAATGCACAAACCTAATCATCACACCACCACATCCATTTGCTCCAAAATCTCTCAGAAGCTTTCACCTGGTCCCTTTTTGGGAGCGCATACAATGACTCCCATTTTCAAAGCATTAACTCGAAGTTTCCAATCACTGACTCAAAGTTTCTTCACCTGCACTGATCCCAAGCTGCTGAGGTGCAGAAATCCTCCCTATCATGTCCTCAGCTCCACCTCACAGCTGGCTGTGCTGCTGCCAGCAGCGAGCATGCTGCCTGTTAGCGAGCATTTTCATCGTGGTGAGCATTTTGTTTTCACTTTTGTTGCTTCATTTTGTGGGTAGGAAAGGAGAGAGTGTTTTTTGATCTGGAGGAAGGAGCACTGCAAATACCAATGTCTATAATAAGAGCTTAATTAATATGCTATAATAGAAGTTGCATCTGTGCTTCAGGTTGAAGTCCCATCATTGAGCATCTCAGCTGAACTACCACACCAAAGGCAGCACGTGCCCTTACGTAGGCTAAACAAATTCTCTGTGAGATTGATTGATGGCTGCTTAAAAGAAAACAAGTTTTAATTTTATAGAACTTTCAGGCCACTGGTCCAGAAAAAAATTTTATTTTTTTTTTAATGTCTTTCTTATCTAACTACTCACCCATAGAATAGGGTTGACATAAGAAATACTTTCTCAGACTCTCTTCTTCCACACAGTTTAGCTACTTCCACTTGATTGGGTAACTGATCTTTAACACCAGAAAATCACTTCTCTACCAGTATTAAGAAGTGAACCCTCAGAGACCAAGCACCTCGATTCAATGGCAGCCAAGAAAAAGGGCTCCACAGTTCTGGCTCCCTACATGTGTTGCTTGAGGGTAGCACACAGAAATGCTCATTTCAAATATTATCCAGCATATTGAACTCCAAGTGCTAGGAGAAAAGCCTACCTATGCTTGTGCAAGGTTTCCCTCAGAAAGCTCGATCTTCATCATGTTTCCTTCCATACTCAGCTTTCAAGGCATCAGAGGGGCTTAATGATCATTTCAGTTAAAAAAAATAAGAAATCAATTCAAAACGGTGTTTGCTCTCATTTCTTTTGTCTGCTGCAACACTCAACAGCAGCAGTTTGATATAGAAATCACTTTTGCCTGCTGAACACTTTCTTGCAGAACTGCAGCTGTTTCAAAGCTGGAAGCTCAAGTGCAAACAGTACAATGCTGTCATTTTTATTTATATATACAGTGTTTGTGGTTTATGTATATGTATGTATGTATATGTATGTATATGTAGGTATATATAGATATACAAGAATACCTATTTCGTAGGAGATTTAAAAAAAAAAATCCTTGATTTCATCAAATACCATCAGTACCTTTCCATCTTACCCCAAGAAGGACAGAAACTGTTTCCTCCCAAGATGGGAACAAGGTTGGAGCAGAACACGTGGACAGCAGCTCTAGCTCAGAGGGAAGCCTCCCTACCTCTCCCTACAGTGGGTGGAAATGAACAGAAATTGCTGTTTACCACCAAAGAGCAAATCACTGCCCACTTAGACGAATGCCAAGAACCAAGTAAGAGAATCGCCCTCTTTGCACCTCTCCCACAGGCCTCCTCTTCCTCCATTCCCTGCCTTTTGCCACCCCAAACCCACACTCAGGCCTGGAGTTCTGGACATTCGCCCACCTCATTCTGTGGGCTGTCCCCAGAGTGCCTCTGCACCTCCTGCCAGGGTCCTTCACTCCTCCTCTCCACCCAGGGTGTGGGTGCTCCTGTCCCATTCCAGTGCTCCAGACTTGGGTGCTCTGCAGTCACTTGTGCCCTGTAAAGATCTCTTATTCCTCTCAGGTTGCCTGCGTTGGGGTCATTCTTTTTTGTAGCACTGATGTGCAAAGTGACAATCAAAGTTACTGCAGGTTCAGCCAGGGGAAAAAAAAAAATCTAATCTAGATGCAAATCCTTGCTGAAGTCTTTTTCTCTTCCAGAATCACGCCAGGAGTCACATTAACACATAACAAGAAATCAAGTCTTTAAAAAAAAGAGTATTTGGATCTTGGTATCCTGCCAGATGCTGCAAGCCTTCACTGACTACACAAGGTTTGTTCTGACCGCCTTGTTAGCAAGCATTTCTCTCCAGAAGAACTCTACGCTCAGTTTCAATGCAGCTGTCTCTGGGTGTGCAGGCTGGAGAGCAGCATACAAAGGTACCATCATTTCTATGTTCCCTAAATTCTCAAAATGAACCAATGCTCAAGCTAAACATGAGGAACACATTGATGCTTTACTTGAGGACGTTTGAGTCATTTTGCTATTTCCATGAGGACAAAGCTGCCATATTAAGATTTTTAACAGGGGAAACACATGAGCTACCACAAACACTGCACAGCTTATTACCTTGTCACTGGACACACTTATGAAATATCCTTGTAATGTAATGTAATATAATCCACGAACAACAGTTACTTTTCCTCCTGACACATGGATTTGCCATGACAACAGGAGCAAAAGCATGGCATGCCAGCATCCATGAAGGAGAAAGGAGAACATGAGAAATCCCATGAAGGAATAAAATGCAATTATGTTATCTCTGCTTGGGATCAGTCATATTATACACTTTGGGCACTTGGGGAAGGCCAGGCTCTTCCCAGGGGGAGGGGAGATGGCTGCAACCCCCTCTGAGCAGCACCTTCAGCTCTGTGAGCCACTGGCCAACATGGTTCAAAACAAAGGTAGAACTGTGGTGCCTTCAGCACTACCCCACACTGCAGTGAACTGGCTCCAGTCCAGTGGAAAAAAAGGGAGTGGAAGCACACACCCTATGTCCATTAAACCTCTGCTAAAATGAGGTGGGTTTATCTTACAAAATCATAGAACTCTTTAGGTTGGAAAAGACCTTCAAGACCTTCAAGTCCAACTGTTAATCCCACACTTCCAAGGCCACCACTAAACTAAGTGCCGCATCTACACATCTTTTAAATACTTCCTGGGAGGCTGATTCCACCACTTCCCACTTGGGCAGCCTATTCCAATGTTTGACATACTGACATTTTTACTGGCTGTGTGGTTTTCATCACACCAATGTAAATACTGAGACACCTTTACCCCACAACATCATGCTAGAAGGTGGCAGTACCTCAGGGTAGACGTGATGTTCAAGGTCACCAGCAAAGAGATATAAAAATAATTGACTATGATCAGAAAAACATTTCACAGCAGCCTCTCTGGCTATTGATTCGTGCTACTGAGTGAAGTCTTTTTGATTAGATTATATTTACAGTATCTTCCACACAAAGTGGTATTGTATTACCTGTGCTAGCAATTACACTAGGAAAAGAATGACTGATAAATGGTCCTGCTACTTTATAAAGAACCATTTAAAAATGAAGAATACCAATAACTAAAATGTAGGACATTCTGGGAATAAAAAAAATTGGCATTAACAAGAGAAAGAAAATCATGGCTAGGGCTGCCATAGCAACATCGCCCCAGCACTCTGCATGCTGAAACATTGACTCTTCCTGAGAATATTATAGCATTTTTAAACACATTAATTGCTGAAATAATCCTAACAACAAGTCCTGACAGAGGTATGAAGGGTTACCGTCAGTTTTGCTGATGGATGACTTCTGGAGAGGAGCCTGCAATTTTCTAATTAATATGATTACATTTAATTTTGAGTTGGATCATATCTCAATGTGGCACTATTGCTTTGCTTCTAAGAATGTGTCTCTCTTCAAACCTTGTCCTGGTAACTAACAAAAACTCTAACTTTTGAGTCCTGGCATGACTAAGAAGGTACTGAGCTGAGGAATCCTGGGCAAAAAGCAGGACAGCTGGAGAACAAAACATACTGTTGAGAAATGTGTTCACCTCAGGGCATTTTGGCTAAAAGTAAGCTGCAGAAGAGACACATGGAACACCACAGTGGATTAAAGATGAAATACATCCATGCCATCGAACAGATAGTAGTTACAAAAGAATAAAAGTAATTTTAAAAACAAAACAATGTGAGCAGAGGAACTATTACTCAGCACCTCATCAACCCTTTCACAGTTCCTCTGCAGCGTAGCCTCAACTTAAGTTCTTGTTCTGGACAGCCCCACCTGTAAAACTTTCTTAAGTTTTTAGCACTTCCAATGGTATTTTCCAGGTTTCTTGTACCTACAACATCTGTTTCTATACAGCTGAGCAAAAACTGTGACAGAACACTTCAATGCAGGTATCAATGACAGCCACACTTCCCACCTGACACGTTCAAGGAAAAAAAACCCCATACTTGAAATCTTCCCAAAGCAGTTTGATAGATGTGATAAGAGGTCAGGTTCGGTCAGTCAGTCCCCCTCATGGTGGAAAAATGATCCACGGAATACTGCATATTACAGACTTCTGCACCTCCCACATCACAGTTATTTCTTACCTTTTACACAAGGCCATCCAACCAAGACAAAAAAGCACCTCTGAATAATATCTTGCTGTACGAGCAAGCTATCAGTGCAGCTACAAAGTGAAGGAACAGTAAAAATCACAAACTATGAGTGTACAACACCCACTGAAGTGTTCTGAGTGCATTCCTCAATGTCAAAATTTCTGTTGCAAAACAGCATGAAATTAAATTAATGTAATTAAAGAGTATCACTATGTAGTAGAACAAGGAGATAGCACTCCCTGCCTTAACTCCTTAACACCCTCTACAAACGTAGGGACCAACACAAAAGTTAAATGTGTTTCAGCTTTCTCCAAAATGGGACTAATGTCAGTCATCCAGACGACATCCCTTCAGTGAGCACAGATGGAGAAGGACTAAGTTGCCCAGGCTGTAAGTCCAGCGGTGTTGGGAAGCCCTGGAAGGCACCTCAGCACCAGGCAGCCCTTCTATCCTTCAAGATGTGCTCATTTCCCTCTGCAGCGTATCCTTCTGTCACAGCTTTTCCTGCAAGCTGAAAGCAGCAGTGGCTGGCACAGCGATGCATCGCTCGCAGTAACAAATGAGGTCTGTCACCACCTGGCAGCCAGGGAAAGGCGGCATCCAGAGACAGAAATAGGGGGTGTCCCCAAGCGCAGAGGGAGGCACAGCCTGGAAGCTGCCGACCATGGCAGTGCAAAGACTCATGCCTAGCAAGCAGCAAGCTAAGTCTAAGGTACTTACCTAGTTCTGAGACAATGCTGTGCTGAGAAAAAGGCAAAAAGGATAACTGACTACCAAAAATAGAAATCACAGCTGTTTCTGTCGTTCTTATGTAAAAGTTTCTTCACTCCTTAGAAGAGAAAACAAAACCTGAGCAGCAGCTATTAGCAGTTTAAGAGCAAATGGAGAAACAACTAAGTTCAGCAGCCCCCTTATTTCCAGAGCTTGGGGGTTTTGTAAACAGCTGAATCAACCAGTAAATGGTTTGCCTAGGACAACCTAAAGCACTAATTATTCCTTAAAACAGATTTATCCCAAATCGGGATCCTAAGGACCAAGCATTATACTGAAAAGACAAGTCAGGATCAAGAAGCAACTTCTTATTTAAAGGAAACAGCTCCAAGGACTGAACCAAAAGTATGAGGGCATGCTAAGTTGGCTGGCCATGGGATCAGAAGCATCTGATGGAAATGTCTGCCACGTTTTGGGGAAAGGTTTGTGACTATTCAGTTACCTCTAACAAGAAAGCAGACAGACAACTTATAGCCCAGTGCTGAGTTACTGTGTGAACTCTCCAAGTCCTGCATTTCTGGCAAGAACCACCACGAAACACATCCTTAAGAATTTCCTCAAAACACTTGATGACTCCCTGAGGAGGTCTGCAGCTGGTTTTTCAGGTGACAGTGCCTCAGCTCACAGGGACATTCAGGTAGGAGACGGACAGGCAGCACTCACCAATGAATTAAGAGACCCAACTTCTGTTGTCAGGGCAGAGAGAGCACAGCCCTCGTACTAACTGGCGCTACACAATCTTGCTCACTGATTTGACCTGCTCTGCACTCCTTTAGGGCAGACACTTGGCAGTGTTCAGCTGGGATGGGTGAAAGTAATGTATGCAGCAAATGGAATTAGGGTTTTCCAGCTCATGCTACTAAAATGCAGCACTCGGCAACTAAAATCCTCCTGGGGTAAAACTGCAGCTTTACTTCTATAAGCTTTCTCCTTTTCATCTTGAGGACAGAAGACCTCAGCATTCTGTATTAAGTCTTGAGGTTTATCCCCCAAAGGCTCACTCCATTAGCAAAAGAAAGCTGCCCATATAAATGGAAGGAAAACTGAAAAGATATCTGAAACAGTCACACCATCTGCTCCGATTCACGAGCTTGTACAGCATCCTCATTGCTCCTGCATGCCAGTCATTCCATCTCATCAACTCACAAGCTTCTCAGCACAAGAAATCAGGCCAATGACAAACACTCTGTGTTAAAAGCAAGCCTTTTCTAAGTGACATTTCAGAAGAATCAAACCAATAATTTAATTACTTCAAGTTATTTGCTTTTCAAGTGATCAAATTTAATTTATCCCCAAGCCCTTTCCCTTTAACTCTTCTTCCCATAGTGATTTTGATGTCAAATTCCAGCTGAGATACAAACCCTCCTAACAGAAAAGTATGAGAAGTAAACAGACACAACCTCAATTATACCAGTCATAAGACATCTACAATTAGTATCTAAGGGGTGAAAACAAAAACTAAGAAATAGAGCATACAAAGGAACATACTAAGTGTAAATTGCTTTTACAAAGACATTTTTAAATCCAGTCAGCTTCGAATGGAGCTATTGTATTGCTAAAGTAAACACACACAGAGCCCACTCTAAAAATAAAGAGCAATTCTCCTTGGTAGCTGCCTACTTGCAGTTTATACCCAGCCACTTCATTTGTTCCAATCTTTCACTTACCTTGCTGCTTCAAAATAAAACAAAAGGTTAAAATGTAAAGGAAATTTATAGAATTAATAGAAAACTACAGAATACAATAGCTTGTTCTCATAGAAAATACAGGTCCTGAAGGATTCCTAATCTTGTTAAAGGTTCACCGGATAATGAACTTTTACTATGGAGATTATCAACATATTGTTGGTGTCCCATCTGAGGTATCAGGGAAAGCAATGTTAAAGGCACCGAGAGTTTCCCGTTCCACAGCAGCACTAGGATGAGAAATCACATAAAGTTGAAGGCATGTTTTGAAGGGGATAAAAAATGCAAACAGCTACTAAAAATCCAAAAAGCAAAAAAACAGCAGAAGCCAACGATTGTAAAAGCCAAAAATGAAGAAATCCTTTTGGTTTCCAGGAGCATCCCTCAACAGAAATTCTTTAGTTCCCCACCACAGTGCATCTTTTCCCTTTCTCAGGCTGTACCAAGTACAGTTAAAACTTCATCCTTCTCTTCAGTTGTGACTCAACAGAAAATATTGTACTTCAGAGGCAGAGAGAAAGCTGTGCAGCTATTGCTACTTTACTCCTCCTCGTCAGCTGCCTACTGCCTAGCTCCTCACACACAGGCAGCCTCCCCGCTTCACTCCTCGCCTCAAAATGATTCTCCACTTTATTATCCATTCAGAAGGAAATGCGAACTGATGGAGCCAATCTGACTAAAGACAAAACGCACTCCTTTGGCATTACGAGAGCAGGCAGTGCAGCGCAGTGAGCTGATCTCTGCTGGAAAAGAGCTCTGCCTGACTCCTGGCATCCTGCGGGACTGTGGAGAAGGGGGAGGGGGGGGGTTGGGGAAAAAAGCTCAGGACTCAACATAATTAACTAGCTCCAAGAAGATTCTTTGCCCCGTTTATTTTTATCTCTCCTGTTCACCCCCAGACTAACCCGCAAGATTCAGCGATGCCCTCGCTGAAATGAATCCAGTTTCCAAGGAAGACTAGTTCTGGTACAAGTGTGGGGGATTGAAACACCCGTTGATCTCTCGTTTCCCAAAAATAAAAGTCACATTGTTACATAAAAGAATGACTGCAGAAGTGTTGTGCACAGAATCATATCCACTCACGTTGTACTGACACTTCTCTCCTGGGAGTGAGCAGCAGCAGGCACTCATCCTGCAAGAAGCAACTGAATTACAGGCACTGTACATCAGCACCACAGCCTGCTCCGGGGGTATCCAACACACTGCTGCTAAGATAATCTTCCTGTTGAACAGCTGATCCATGTTCATATATCCTCTGTCCCCCCTCTTCATGCACCCAATACAAGCACCCACCTCCTTCCTGAATACTGATTCTCTGCCTTTAGCATCAAAGGCACTGTATGACTGCTGGTTCTGCTCAAGGACAACTCACTGCATCTTTCAAAACAGTGTCTTTTCACAGTGTGGGGTGGGATTTTGAAGAGGCCTATATGACTTAGCTGTGGAAATGCCACTATCCTCCCATCTGTTCAAATACCTCCTACCTCCTTGTGAGCCAGCCTTGCTGTGAACGATATATCCCCTTCAATGTCTTACCTACACCAGAATCAACTTTTATTCACCACTTCCTCCACAATCATCACTGGGCTCCCACCCCTGTCCTCGCTGCAGGGGGATATTCTCCCCTCAGCTTCTACCCCCTGCTCCCACAGCTCCACCCCAGCATGTTGCTGTAGTGCCAGCTGACAACAGCCAGGCTGGTGTCCCTATCAGCTCATTTCTTTGATTTGGGTAAGGGTGAGTTTTACACACAGGCAAACTAATGTCATGATTCACAGCACTGTCTCAGCAGCACTACTAGTGACCTGTACCTCTGTTCTTTCCACGTGGACTGCCCCTTTCAGTCAGGCACAGAAACCACCTTCCAGACCCCCTGTAAGGCTGGTGTTCCTTTGTGGTCACTCATATACTCCATCCCCTGGAACACCCTCTCATTTTTGCTCTTTCTCCTGCTGTAGGGGCTGGGACTACAGGTCAGATTTAGAGAAGTGCTTTAGCTTTAAATGATTTTAAGAGTCTGACCCCTAGTTTCTCATTATATATATTTCCATCCCACCTGGAGAACAGGGCTCCTGCCCAACTGAGGGCACCGAGTCCCACTGCAATAGAAATTATTCCACTAAACACACCAATTATAGCACTTGAGCTCAGATTCAAAGCTCTGCATCAAATTCATCCATATAAAAATGAAGACTGCCCAACAGAGAAAATAAAATGCAATCCGGGATTTGTGCAGCATTTAGTATCTTCAAAGCCCTGCCTGTGAATAAGATGAAAAAGATCTTCTGAGAGGTCTCCTTCACAGCAATAGCTTAAAAAAATATTAAGTATCCATCAGATAATACTTTATTATTCACATTAACTCTCTACAGCACCTGAAATTAAGACAGTCTTACAGGCTTTTGCATGCCTTACTCTTCCCAAAGATCTTACAACAAGTGCAACCAACATCATCTTGCCATCGTTGCCTCTGTTCTTCCCATTTCTTCCTTCCTTGGTCTTTGCCCATTCCTGCAGCGTCAGTACCAGACATTAGCACATCAAAGTACCAAACATAATGCGGCTCTAGCTACAGTTCCTAAGACCCAAAAAACCTGTGCAAATTTCCAAGCACTGCAACAAGAAATCCCAGTACTCCCATGGCTGTCATACAAGAACAGGAGCAAAAAAACACACGGAAAAAGTGAGCAGGCCTCAACAGACAAAGAGACAGGAGACACTGCTAATGCAGGTCATGAGCAATGGAATGATGGAAAAATGTCACTGCCCTCACCACAGCTCACAAGGAACTGGAGAGGAAAATGTGGCTAAAAAAAAGACAAAAGAGCAGGTGCCCTCAGAAGCAAGAAAGATGGCACCTTCCAAACATTTAGGACCCCTTACCCAATGCACAGGAGATTGAGACAGGTTTCTTCAGAGATTTTTTTCCGAAATAATGAAGATAATTCATAATTGTGAAAAATAGGCATGACTTGCCTATTTCTGACTTGCCTATCTTATGACTCTAAAAAAAGTCAGTGAGAAAGAGTATGCTTTACCTTAAGGCTGAGAGCACTGAGTTATTTGCCTTCTAGAAGAGAAATAAACTTACGCTTAAAAATTTAAATACTTCTTACTGCAATTATTTAATTCACCAACAGATTTTAATTTTAGGTTGAGCCAGCAGGGAATTATTAAAACTGATAAAGCCAGGCTCAGCTATATAGGCCAAATGCTTTGATGTCTGAGAGGTATACATTACCCTTTCTTCTTTTTTAATCCTCATTATCTATTTCATTCCAACTTCCTGTAAAGTAGTGAATTACTGATAAAATTGTAAAAAGTAAGCAATTCCTTCATGAGCACGAGTGGATTAACGAAAGGAAAATGAGCACTCTTCGAGCACAGGTCCTGCTCCTCCCTCTCCCAGACTTATGCCCCTTCTCCCTGCAGGAAGACAAGCAGGAACATTTCTAGTGTCCTGGCTCTGGGGGAAGAACAGAATTGAGTGGCTAAGGAAATTAGCCACGATAAGAATGTTACACAGAGAGATGAAAAAGAAACAAGAGGGGGAAAAGTAGAGAAAAAAGTCAATGGAGAGAACTTGTCTGGTACTGCAGGGGAAAATTCTGTCCAGCTAACTCTTAGGTTTAATTTGTCTCACAAATGGTCCTGGACATCTCTGACTCTAGAGCTCTCTAAAATAAAATTTTTATTTGACTTGAGAAAAGAAAAAGCCATCTATCCCAAGTGAAACCGCCTGCTGCATCTCCCTGAAGGCAGAGTTTTCAGTAAGGCAGCTTGAGTTCAGTGCTTCACTAGACGGTACGAGTTCAAATACACTGTGTAAAGTTTATCAATTTATTCAGCAGTGAAAACATGCTATTTATTATGTTTTTCAAAGCCACGAGAAGATTAAATCAATCAGCAGTCTAAATATGAAGTGTTAATGAAAAAGCAGTGACCTCCTGCTGTTTGACAGCTGTCCTCAATGAATACCAGCTTTGAGGAGCTGTGCATCACACAACCCCAAGCAGGGCTGCTGAGACCGAGCGTGGAAGAGGAGAGTTTCTGTTCTGAGGAATTTAAAACTGCCCTGTCAACGATGCTGCTGTTTGTTACAGTAGCTCCAGAACACACGTATGAAACATATGCTTAAGACATTGCTTTCAGAAGAAAGAACAACTTCAAGAAGGGGTCATTCAAAGCACTGACTCTTTCTTTTCCCCTTAGGAAAGGCTAAGGCAAGGCACAAGGGCAACATATAAGCTCGGAAAGGAATAAAGATACAGGTACCTCCTACAGCACCTTGAGCACCTTGGAAACTGATAATGGCCAGACATTGGCATTGAAAGACTTGAAGAAAAGGAAGGAGATAATCTTACCTAAAGTTCTTACCCTTTAAAAAGTTGGGTTTTTAACTCTCATGCAAGTTGAATTATTTTGTTTATAGAAAGACAAGAATGGCACTGGCTCATTGAAAAAAAAAGCTAAAGATCAGAGGTACCGGGACTGCTTACCTTCCAAAGACAGGCAACCTAAGTCCCTTTGTTGCCCATGGCTGAGACCAAACCACTGGCTGACTCAGCTTCACAGGAAAGATGTTTACACTCCACATGTTATCATCATTTCACTGTAAGGACAACCACTGAACTCTGAGACACGAACATTTCTAAACTAACAGAAGGAAAGACTTTCACATACCTGGGAATAAAGGATATTTCCATGGCTAAGAATGTAGTAAAATTCAAGGAATGGATTTTTGCTAGGTTAATGAAAAAAATGACTTAACACAGCACCAATGTTTTTGAAGAGCCACGAACTATACACTCCATAGTTTAGGTCAGTCTTTATCAGGTAGGGATTTATCAGAGACCTTAGAGCTGCCTACAATGAGTCCTCCCATCTCTGTCCCTCTGAGGGTGCTGCTGCCACACCAGTCAAAAACTCCTCCAGAGGCTACAACAGATCTAGTCTGATGCAGGAATTTTTAAGGTGTAAAATCCTTAAGGGAGCATGGGTCATGAAGTTAGAAAAGCTTGTATTATCATCCTCCAATGGCAATGCCTTTCCTAAGAGATGTGAGA